ATCGGCCTTGGTTGAGAAGAAAAGGCTAAAGGCGTCACTAGAAGGGAAAATAATGAACATATTTTGGCTAACGCCTCAATTTTTTATCCTTGGAATAGGGGATGGACTATCCCTAGTAGGAATGCAAGAATACTTCTATGAACAAGTTCCTAACTCGATGAGGAGCATAGGAATGGCATTTTACCTTAGTGTTATCGGTATTGGGAGCTTTCTTAATAGTTTCTTGATTATTATTGTGAATCATGTTACTAAGATGCATGGAAGAAAGAAGTGGATTGGCAAAGACTTAAGCCATAGTCGTCCTGATTATTATTACTGGTTGTTTGGGTACTAAAATGGTCATACCCATTTTAGTCTTGGGTAACTCTACCCATATAAGCCCAAAGGGTATAAAAAAGGTATAAAAGGCCCCAAATAAGTCAAATACATCAATATGGCCTTCAACGGCCCACATATGTAATTTTAGGGCTCATAAACCCACTTATGTACTCATATAAATACCCCTCAAAGGGCATAAGGTAAAAGGAGGTCACTCTTATCATCTAAGATGACCATACTCCTCCACTCTCTCCCCTAAACTCCTCTCAAAATATGCATTGTTTGGCAACTAACTTGGGCGTCGGAGGCTCCGCCCCGGGTTCAACCCCGGGGCTCGGGGTTCATTTTGCAGGTCAATTCAAGGCCCAAATTCGAGGTTCTCAGACACCCCTCCAAGGCCCGGTTAGCTCATTTTTTGCCGAAACAATTTGGCGCCGTCTGTGGGGAGACGAGTACTACTACCCATGAAAATCCACTAATTCATGGCTACTGTGTTCTATCACGAAAAAGGGTCAAAATTTCTAGCAAATTTAACCCAAAATTATTACTCCTGTCAAAAGGAGTAATCATTCTTGCAAATGGTGGAGATGATAGATAAACATTTTGATTTGTCGCCAATCTAACCACTACTAACAAGGTACTTCGTGCCTTTACAAAAAAATTGGGAAATATTCCATGAATATGGTCAAACCTTAATTATTCTTGAAGAAGAATAAAAGCTAGATCTACGTGGCTCTAATGGAAAGCTCACAAAAGCAAGCCTTTCATTCACACCACCAAGTTGAAGAGGCAGCAGGTGGCATGAAACATACATAAAAAATCAATCAAGTTTATGTAAATTCAATGCTTGCCGAAGGAAATTGCCATTGTCTTCATCACAAGTTTCAAGGCTCACAACTCCACCACTAGAACGACTCACCATTTCATCCTAGGCAACACATGCCGAGGTCAATGGGGGTCAAGGCTAGTATTGTGAAGTGAGCCAAATCTCTTCACATCACATCTAAAGTAGCAGCCGAAGAAGATCCGAGGTTGTCTACCATTGTTGAAGCTTAAAAAGCTCAAACTATCACCAATCTAAAAATCCGAAGCAAATAGCTCGGATAAGCAAAAGGAATCCGAAGCTCATCGAGCCGAGGCTATCCGAAGGTGTTTCAGCCCAAGCCGAAGGTGTTCTGGGCAAGCCAGCCGAGCCGAGACCGGTGTTTCAGCCAAGCCTAAGGCTTTTAAGCCGAGACCGAAGGAGTTTCAGCCCAAGCCGAAGGCGTTCTGGGCGAGTCGAAGGTGATTCAGCAGAAACCAAGGGTGGTACAGTTTACCGCTCCCAAGTTAAGGTCGGTAACCATTGCCGAGCCGAAGCTCACCTCTTATCTCCTGGCCGAGGCTAGCCATAGCCGAAGCCGAGCCCAGCCGAGGTTTACCTTCGCCGAGATTCGAGCTCCCAGCCGAAGCTCACAACCATATGAGCCGAGGGTGCTGCCGAAGATGGTTTGTCTGAACCGAAGAAGGTTCATCCAAGCCGAAGCTCATACGAGCTAATGCTAGAGCAACCAAAGCAATTAGCTTCGGCAGTCAAGTGCAATTGGCTCAAATTGTACCCGACCTCAACCTACATCAAATCTGATGATAACAAGTCAGAAGAAAAATTTACCTTTTGACCATTTTCAAAGAGCTATAAGCCATAAAAAAAAACTACCTTTGTCAGGGTAGATGGCCAGAAGCTTTCTTACCTGCGGCTACTACTTTTATCAAGTAAATGGCTTCGGGCCCACTTTCATCAAAGCCCATCTATCAAATTGCTTCAGCAAAGAAAAATGGCTCTTAATTTTTCGAGTCAATATTTTCCTCAAAAAAAAAAAATATCATCAACTATCCTCACGATGACGATGATAAAATTAATCATCAATCTTCCTCACGATGATGATGATTAAAAAAAAAAAAAAAAAAAAAACAACTCTTTCTATCTTCGGATCAAGAGTAATAAACTCTTTCTATCCTCGGATCAAGAGTAAACTCTTTCTATCCTCGGATTAAGGGTAAACTCTTTCTATCTACGGATCAAGAGTAATAAACTCTTTTTATCCTAGGATCAAGAGTAAACTCTTTCTATCCCCGGATCAAGAGTAATAAACTCTTTCTATCCTCGGATTAAGGGTAAACTCTTTCTATCCTCGGATCAAGAGTAATAAACTCTTTCTATCCTCGGATCAAGAGTAACCTCTTTCTATCCCCGGATCAACAGTAATAAACTCTTTCTATCCTCGGATCAAGAGTAATAAACTCTTTCTATCCTCGGATCAAGAGTATTAAACTCTTTCTATCCTCGGATCAAGAGTAATTAACTCTTACAATCCTCAGATCAAGAGTGTTGCCTCAGATAAACTCTTTCTATCCTTGGATCAAGAGTAATTAACTCTTACAATCCTTGGATCAAGAGTGTTGCCTCAGATAAACTCTTTCAGTCCTCGGATCAAGAGTAATTAACACTTTCAATCCTTGGATCAAGAGTGTTGCCTCGGATGAACTCTTTCAGTCCTCGGATCAAACCTTGGATCAAGAGTGTTGCCTCAAAATAAACTCTTACAATCCTCGGATCAAGAGTGTTGCCTCGTATGAACTCTTTCATTCCTCGGATCAAGAGTAATTAGCTCTTTCAATCCTTGGATCAAGAGTGTTGCCTCAGATAAACTCTTTCATTCCTCGGATCAAGAGTAATTAGCTCTTTCAATCCTTGGATCAAGAGTGTTGCCTCAGAATAAACTCTTACAATCCTCGGATCAAGAGTGTTGCCTCGTATGAACTCTTTCATTCCTCGGATCAAGAGTAATTAGTTCTTTCAATCCTTGGATCAAGAGTGTTGCCTCAGATAAACTCTTTCATTCCTCGGATCAAGAGTAATTAGCTCTTTCAATCCTTGGATCAAGAGTGTTGCCTCAGATAAACTCTTTCAGTCCTCGGATCAAGAGTAATTAACTCTTTCAATCCTTGGATCAAGAGTGTTGCCTCGGATGAACTCTTTCAGTCCTCGGATCAAACCTTGGATCAAGAGTGTTGCCTCGGATGAACTCTTTCAGTCCTCGGATCAAGAGTAATTAACTCTTTCAATCCTTGGATCAAGAGTGTTGCCTCAGATGAACTCTTTCAGTCCTCGGATCAAGAGTAATTAACTCTTTCAACCCTTGGATCAAGAGTGTGTTGCCTCGGATGAACTCTTTCAGTCCTCGGATCAAGAGTGTTGCCTTGCATAAACCTGAACAAATAAAGTCCTTCGACTCAATTTCTATGAACGAATTATTTGGGAAATTGAAACAAAACCCAACTCATTTTTTCAAATAGAATTGGGTCTCGGGGGCTAATTGTTTGGGTACTAAAATGGTCATACCCATTTTAGTCTTGGGTAACTCTACCCATATAAGCCCAAAGGGCATAAAAAAGGTATAAAAGGCCCCAAATAAGTCAAATACATCAATATGGCCTTCAACGGCCCACATATGTAATTTTAGGGCTCATAAACCCACTTATGTACTCATATAAATACCCCTCAAAGGGCATAAGGTAAAAGGAGGTCACTCTTATCATCTAAGATGACCATACTCCTCCACTCTCTCCCCTAAACTCCTCTCAAAATATGCATTGTTTGGCAACTAACTTGGGCGTCGGAGGCTCCGCCCCGGGTTCAACCCCCGGGGCTCGGGGTTCATTTTGCAGGTCCATTCAAGGCCCAAATTTGAGGTTCTCAGACACCCCTCCAAGGCCCGGTTAGCTCATTTTTTGCCGAAACACTGGTTATTGATGATCATTATTGTATTAAATATGTGTTTATTTATGTTGTTGTCTAGGAACTATAGGTACAAAAGTATTCAAAAAAGTGTGGTCGTAGATGGTGAGAAAAAGTTGGAGCTGAGTACGGTTTAAAAAGAGTTAAATAATGCTGACATCGAAAATGATTGCTCATGATAAACTTGGTACTAAAGTGGCATGTTATGGTACTTACTAGGATGGTTTTTTTCCCCCTTTCTTTTTGGGAGAGGATTACGTACTAGTTTATTTTTTCATACATAGAAGTACCAAAATGGAGATTTTTTTTTTTTTTTTAAATATTTTTAAGGAATTGATGTGTATTTGCAGTAATAATTATGTACTTTCTTTTGTCTTCCATCAACAAAACCATATCCATTTGATCATTTTTGCATAAGCTCACAAGTCAAATAAAATTAAACCAGACAATAACATTGAATTATAAAAGAAAATCACGGTAGAATTACGAGCTGTTGTAAAATGTCTAGTGTTTTTGAGCCTGTACGTGCATGATCAACCTTCAAATATTTACAATGCATTAATGACGTATACTCCCTCTGTTTCGTAATAATCGCAACACTTTGACTTTTACACTATTTATATGCTTACTTTGTCAATCTTACCAAGCTCATCAACAAAAACAAATCGTATTACTCCTAATGAGCCAAAAACAAATCAACCAACCAGATAATTGAGACAAGTGGGATTGTAGATATAATTGACTTGAATTGACTTAACCTGTTCATTGGAAGAATATCTAAATTTAATTTGGTGTTTCTCAATTCGAAGCATAAATTCCAGGAAATCATGTGCAACAAACTTATAATAATGCTCGGCAGATTAAATGCTGAATTGCTGATTTTCTTCGTCTACCTGAAAAGTAAACGCTACCACATGATTGTACATATAATATGCTCAACGTACGTTTATTAAGCTTATGACATATTATAAAAAACGATATTAATTGTATTAAACCTTTGTTTACGTGAAGATTATTGACCAAACAACCAAGCTTGGCTTATCCTACAAATATAGTAATCACAATTGCACTTCAACCTCCTTCTCAATCAATACGCAACTACTCAGCTAGACAACTACCCTGTATTATATAACACATTTTGTATTATTTTATGCCTCCTCGGGTTCATTTTGATACCAAGTAATATTCAATTTTATAAGAAAAATACCTCGAACGTAACTGATTGAGACCATTGGTCCCATGTTGAAAACTTAGACGGAGACTAATATACGAAATGTATTATTATTGGTGGTTAGGTCGTGGACTACTCTACTTATAATTTAATGATTTTATAATAGAACTAGCAGTGAAGTTAGGGTCTAATCTAATTGACCGAGCTGAACTGAACTGAACTTATCTTATCTTATTCGAGCTGAGCTAAACTGAGCTGAACTAAACTGAAATTAAGCTGAAGAGAACAGACCCTTAAGATTTTAAAGACGGAGTGTCAAAGTTTAATATATGAGTAGTACGGGCTGTAAGATTAAAACTATACGGACAGTGTCAAAATTACAACAATTGGGAAACAAAGGTGGTATTGCTGTAATGCTTGCTGATATTGATGTATGAAGTATATAATACACTCCTTGTATTAGAAAACGTGCAGTCTGCTTATTAATATCTAGCTTATGTATTGGGTTATCTTCTACTCTTAGTAACAATCAATTCAAACCCAATATAAGTACCTTAATTGTGCATTAAAAGATGGTGGGAATAAGAGCAGAAATAGACGATGAAACACATGAGAGAAAAAGAGGTGAGTTTGAATTCCCAAATGAAAATTTGGACGAATCACAAGTTCTTGATTCATCATATGATTACAAAGGAAGGATTCCTCGTCGAGCTTCAACTGGCTCATGGAAAGCAGCCTTCTTCATCATAGGTAAAAATTTTAAAAGCTTAATTGTAAGTCAGTACTACTTCATAATATATAAAGTCCAAGAACATCTATCTTACACCAACCTAGGAGGGTGTTATATTTATCCTCATGTAATCAGTTTTGTCAATTTTTAAAATTATGAATTGGCAAAAATGCACTTGGATGTAACAATTGATGATGTATGTATGTATGTATGCAGCAATCGAGTTCAGTGAGAGGCTCAGTTACTTCGGAATAGCACCAAATATGATAACTTACATGACAAAAGTGATGCACCAAGACCTGGAAACAGCAGCCAACAGTGTGAATATATGGTCAGGAGTTGCCACAGTTATGCCATTGCTGGGTGGGTTTCTAGCAGATGCGTATACTGGTCGGTATTTCATGATTCTTTTCTCTGCCATCCTCTACGCACTGGTATGTAATGAGATCTTTCTCTAGTTCTATCTTTTTGTTGGTCATTTTCTTCCTTTTCTCTGCAAGTTTTCCACATACTTTGTCAGGGAGTATTAGTATGTAGTAAATCAGCAATCTCATCAAGCAGAAATCATCACCTAATGGTCAATAATTTCGCTAAATAGTTACTAAAAAATCAATTTGATTGCAATGGAACGAATTAAAGCATTAAAAATAATGTCAATTTCTACCTGAATGTTTAGTAGGAGAAGAAATCGCGGTCTAAGATTAATTTAAAAGGCAAACAATTGATAAATAAAAAGAACATATCATACCTTACCACTATAAAGTGGAGTATTGGATTTTGTGGTGCACCAAATTAATGTATTAATTATAAATTCAGGGTTTAGGTGTATGGACCATGTCCCAATACGTCCCAAGCTTTAAACCTTGTGGTGCGACCTCGACTACATGCGAGCATGTTAACAAGGTCCACGAGGTGGTCTACTTTATAGCAGCCTACCTCGTGGCCCTAGCAACAGGAGGTTACAAGCCATGCTTAGAGAGCTTTGGGGCGGACCAATTCGATGACAACCATATGGAAGAAAGGAAGCAAAAGATGTCGTTTTTCAACTGGTGGAACATTGCTCTTTGTAGTGGCCTCTTCACTGGGGTGACTTTGATTGTTTATGTACAAGACTACGTTAGTTGGGGTCTTGGGTTTTTAATCCTAGCCATAACTATGGTAGCCAGTGTCTTGGTTTTTGTTCTTGGAAGGCCTTTTTATCGATATAAGGCCGTGGTTGGTAGCCCCTTAACCCCATTGTTGCAAGTCTTGGTTGCTGCCGTGGCCAAAAGAAATCTAGTTTGTCCATCAAATCCGTCCTTGTTGTATGATGAAGCTCCCAATTCGGGGGACCTCAAAAGCGAGCGTTTAGGTCATACAAACAGACTCAGGTACGTAAAATGTTACTAAACATCTTACTAATTTTGTATGATCGTGGAGTTGCTAAGTTTCTTACCGTTGCCAATTGATTTTGAGATGAAACCTCACTAGGAATGAATTTTAAAAGGTACTTGTATACATGCAGATTTTTTGACAAAGCTGCTATAATAGACAATCATGAAAGTAATGAAGTACAATGGAAGAAACGAAGTCCATGGAGGCTAGCAACCGTGACACAAGTGGAGGAATTAAAACTCGTAATAACCATGGTTCCCATATGGTTAACTTCCTTGGTGTTTGGCATCGGCGTTGCACAAGGCACCACATTCTTCATTAAACAAGGAAGTGCAATGGATAGGAAAATTTCCAAACACTTTGAAATCCCAGCAGCTTCTATGGCCACCCTAATAGCCATAGGAATGATTACAACAATTGCCTTTTACGACAAAGTCCTACTCCCATACTTAAGGAGAGCCACAGGCAACGAGAGAGGCATCAACATCCTTACAAGAATTGGTATTGGTATGGCTTTCTTAATTGTTGCAATGTTGACATCAGCCTTGGTTGAGAGGGAACGATTAAAAGCGTCGCTAGAAGGGAAAATCATGAGCGTGTGTTGGCTAGTGCCCCAATTCTTGATCCTCGGTATAGGGGATGGGTTTTCCCTAGTAGGAATGCAAGAATACTTCTATGATCAAGTTCCTGACTCAATGAGGAGTTTAGGAATGGCGCTTTACCTAAGTGTTATCGGTGTTGGGAGCTTTATGACAAGCTTTTTGATTACTATTGTGAATCGTGTGACTACTATGCATGGAGGAAGTAAATGGATAGGGAAGGATTTAAAGCATAGTCGTCTTGATTATTTTTACTGGTTATTGATGGTCATTTTTGTATTGAATATGTGTATTTTTGTGTTGTTGGCTAAGAATTATAGATACAAATCTGTTCAAAGAAGCAAAGAAGTTATTGTAGATGATTTTGATTCTTGTGATGGCGAGAAGAAATTGAGATTGGGTGGTGCTTAAATTGAATTTATGTAAGTTGACATGCTCAGTCACATATATGATATATCGATATATGTTTGGTAATTAAAAAAAATAAAAAGCAAAATAATTTTTTTATTATTACATTTTATAATGTTAATTGATAGATGTGAATTATGGTTTTGATTCGGTAACACATAATTCCTGCTTTTTTTAATTGTAACAGTTGGAATTTTGCATTATTCATATTTTCACAGGGGTGTTTTTTTTTTTTTTTTGACAACAAACAATAATAAAACAGGGGTGTTATTCCAATAGAGTGTTTTAAGTTTCTAACTCATTCTAAAAATAAATTAAAAAGGGAAGTATTCCAATAGAGAGTATTTCAATTTTCCAACTCATTCTAAAAATAAATAGAAAAGGGAAATATTCCAATACAGAGTATTTCAAGTTTTCAACTCATTCCAAAAACGAAATAAAACAATGTAGTAAATGGAATTGTCATGCGTAGCTCGTCATCCACTCATTGCAAAATTGCCAAAAAAAAAAAACAACATAACTCCACCTTAATATTCACACATATAACTCAAACCAAAAGCCACCACATTTACATGCATGAGCTTAAACCTAGAGAAATCAAACAAAAACTCCAATGGAAGGGGAAATGAAGCAGAGCAAGCTGGGTCGTAGATTGCTACTGTTTCCTGCACCATTTCATGGCCATATAAATCCAATGCTACATCTAGCAACACTCCTATACTCCAAAGGCTTCTCCATCACCATTATCCAGACTGTTCATAATCCTATAAATCCTACCCATTTCCCACACTTCACCTTCCACTCCTTTTACAGTAGCTTGCTTGAGTTATATTCTAAGTCCCCTCCATCCGATCCTTTAGCATTCACATCTGCTATGAACAATTGCTCGGAACCATTCCGGGATTGTTTGTCTCAAATTTTGTGTGATGCTACTGCTGCTGCGGACAATGAGCCTATTGCTGCCTTGATAGCAGATCCTATATGGAAATTTGCAGGGTCTATCGCTGCTAGCTTTAACCTTCCTAGGATGGCGCTGAGGACTGGTGGTGTGTTGTCTTTACTGGTTTATCTTTCCATGCCTTCTTTACGAGAAAAAGGCTATCTCCCACCCCAAGGTAACTTCTGCCTTATATCTTTTACTTCACGAGCAAATGTCTAGCCATAAGGGCGAACTGGTGGTATTTTACTGGGATAGAAAGTTAAAAGAGCTTTTGTCCAAAAGCCTAAATATCTACTGTACATCCATTGGATTTTCAGGCGCCGTGTGCATGTTATGTGCCTCTACACATATCATGCATCATATCATATACACTCAGATATGTGAGGCATGTGTACAGCACACACCGCGCCACCTGTGTAACAGTACACACACAGTCTATTATAGTGTAAAATTATTTACTGATTGAGACCAAAGTCCCAGGAAGAAACACATGGCTTTCCCATTTTATATACACGTAATCGACACACTACATATACAAAATCACTAATAGCTCCAGATTTCATTAATTTCTTAGGGTCAGACTCATTGTTCAAAAGCATAGTAAGCAGATGATGTTCGGATTTGGTATACATATGCAATGTCTACATAAATGCAAGAACAAACCCTAATTCCCAACGCATAAATGCAATTAACTCCAATGCATATCAAAAACATGAAAAAACAGTGTTTACAAAAACAACCATATCGTTTATAGATAAGTAATAGCATAGCTGCTTTATGACTCGTTAAGAAAGTGTATGTGTTGAAGTTGTTTTACTTGACGTTATAAAAACTTCCGGCTATTATTGTTCCGTAAAATTCTTGACCTCTCTCTTATTTTCTCCTACATTTCAGATCATAAATTAGACGAACCACTGCCAGAGCTTCCTCCTTTAAAAGTCAGGGACCTTCCTTTACCATTGCTACATGAGCTACTGGAAACTGTAGTCCATGAATTTAAGACTTCCCAAGGTGTTATATGTAATAGCTTTGAGGAACTTGAAGATTCTTCAATAGCTCAAGTTCACCAAATCCTTCCCATCCCCATCTTTCCTATAGGTCCTTTACACAAACACACACCAACTTCTGATACCAACTATTGGGCACAAGACCAAACCTCCATCACTTGGCTGAATAATCAAGCACCCAAGTCTGTACTGTATGTGAGTTTTGGGAGTGTTGAAGCTATAAGCAGAACTGAATTTCTTGAGCTAGCCTGGGGATTGCTCGACAGCATGGTGCCTTTCCTGTGGGTGGTCCGCCCTGGAATGATCCAAGGCACAAAAGCTTATGACTCATTGCCAGAAGGCTACCTTGAAATGGTGGGTGAAAGAGGACATATTGTCACATGGGCACCTCAATTAGAGGTTTTATCCCACCCAGCTGTTGGAGGTTTTTGGACTCACAATGGATGGAACTCAACTTTGGAGAGCATTTGTGAAGGAGTGCCAATGCTTTGCCAGCCTATCAATACTGACCAGTACACGAATGCAAAGCTGGTGAGTGACGGCTGGAAGATAGGATTGAAGGTGGAAAAGAAGGTAAAAAGAGAAGAAATAGTAAGGTCAATAAGAAAACTAATGCTGGAAGATGGTGGAGAGATGAAGAGCAGAATCACAACTTTAAAGGAGAAGGCAACTTTCTGTGTCAAGGAAGGTGGTTCTTCATACACATCTTTAGAGAAGCTTACCAAACTTTTACTATCATTTTGATTCACTTGGTTTGTAGCATTAAATATTGTCATTAACCAAATAGTCTGAGAAGAAAACTTTAAATAAAAATTACCCCAAAAATTTGTCTGTTCAGGTCCTAGAGTCAGTCCGAACTTCAAACTGATGATGAACATTGCTTGTATTTTGCCTTTTTAGCTCTTGATCCCGGAAAAAGAGGGGGGGGGGGGATTTCATCAGTCAAGTTTACTTCAGGCATGAATAAAATATCTTTCAAACTCAGAAATCTGATCTCTAAGACAAACAATGTGCTTCACACGGAGTTGAAGAATGAAAGATATATTCTTGTTATGATATGATATGATATCAAGGTAGAAATAGAAAGGAATTGAAAAATCCATTTTCCTTCCTCTTTTAAAACGACTACTTGCATCTTCTGCCACCCTCTTTTCTCCAAAAAGGTCATTAGACACGCTGCTAAGCTCTTGATCTCTAAACAAGAATTTGAGTTGACTAGTTTTCAGTTGTCTTACCCTTTGGAATCTCCAATACAGGATCATGTTAAGTTGAAAGCTGAGATACAGAAAACTCTTGGTAACAGATCAAAAGACCAATGGAGTAGTTGCCCCAAAATCCCGTGTTGTGTGAAGTTCAGCAATGCATGATGGCATGATGCTCACCGCAGACATGCATGAATCCTTCAGTCCTTCATAAGGTTGTTTTCCAATAAATTCAGATAGACATAGTTTCGAGGCAGTACGATACATACCTTATGCTGTAACAACACAAAAATGACAGGGCTGCCAAGGTTTCATGTTACCCTGATTTGGCCCTGGTAAGAAAGATAGGCATGATCCTATTTACAATACTCACTACAAAAAACTAGAGAAGCCTTTCACTTATGTCTTAAATATCAACCAATATTCTGAAGGAAAGAAGCAGCAAAGTAAGATAAGGGTAAGGGTATTCCTAATCGTACTACCAATCAAGGCCATAAAACACCAATGTTCCACCTAGCAAATATTCTCCATTCAAAAGGCTTCTCAACCACCGTCATCCAAACAAACTACTACAAATCTTTTGATCCTACCCATTTCCCGCGTTTCTACTACAAATATCTGCACCAAGTGATATAAGCAGTCTTAGCTGCCCTTAACACAACCCACTTAGAAACATTAAGATGTCTCATTGAGGTTTTCTAAGCCTTTCAAGAATGATGTTGAGATGTGGTAGCTGTCTACCTTTATGTTTATCATTCCCTGCTAACTCTCCACAAACAGGATTACTATCCTAACTCGAACATCTTTGCTTAGAATAATCTAAATTATCAATTCCAACATCCTAAATTTCTTCTATGAATTTGTTACTTGAGTAATCAGCACAAAACATGGTTTAAGTTTATGTACTTGTAACACACCAAGGGCATAAACTAACATTAATGTTGTAAATTTCACAACTTTAATCGCGATATCTATCAATTGTAATAGCTAGACAATATCAATCATTTAACAATTACGAATTACAATTTGTAAATTACATAATCAAATTTTATATAACTAAAAAGAAATCAGGGTTAATCAATGCATAACACAACATATGAATATTAACTTTCAAAAAGGCAAACCCAATATCAATCAAATGATAATAAACATTAGAATGAAATTTAAGCAAACAATTACAATGAAAATTAAGAAAAAAGACAAAAATTGAGTGGAAATGAAACTAACCTAAACAATCCATGGAAGCCTTAACAATTAATTATCCGGCTAATAAGAGCACCACCACCGCGCCGCGGAGGGAGGAGTTTCAAAGTGAAACGGCGGCGTTCGGAGAACCACCATTGCCGGAGGGTTACGTCGGCGGGTTTTCTGACGACGAGAATGAGTTAATGATATGGTAAAAAAGTTTAATACTTTAATTAGTGTTTTTCTTAACAGGAGGAAATTTGATTATTTACCTTCTTGTATTGCATTTTTGAAACGGAGTAACTATTCAAGAAAAGTTTTTTTTTTTTTTTTTTTTTTTTTGGTAAGATTGTAATATTTGTAACCTAGGGCGGCTAACGCGCATGTTATATTTGGTCATGTTTGGAAGCTCTTTCAATTTGATTATATGACCTTATGAGAGCATTGCCACTAATGGGCATTTTTTTGGTTGCCCAATCTCTCTCTAACCACTTTCTCACTCCTCCTCTCTATGGGCATTTTCTTGGTCATTTTTTTTCTACACCAATGGTCAAAAATTATAATCCCCACCATTCTCTCTCCTATTTTTAACCCTATACCCCACCAATATTTATCTCTCCTACACATCATTAAATTTGTAATTTAGTATTTTTTAATTTTATTGTTAACAAAATTTTGTATTGATTGTATCACCTTATGACTAGCTTTAGCGACTCGTTGGTTGGAACCCATCGGCATTCTTTGAGTCGACGGAGGGTATTGAGATGTCTCAGGCACATTTTCTTCTAGGCTATCATCGTACTGAGAGTTACTTCCTTGGTAGACAGGAGGTTATTGCTCGTAATCAGTGTTTTCAGTTGGAATTTGTGGAGGTATCTGCTCTTGTGGAGGTATTTGTTGTTGTGGAGGATTTTGCAGAGAGGTGTTGCTCATTCTTTGTAGGAAAAGTTGAAATTGAGGTTGATTCATGAAATTCTCATCTAAATCATTACAATTTTGAGAAAGTAGTGAGTAAAAGGGGTTATTGGGATCCATATCTATTTTTTTTATTAATTTCAAAAACTAACACAATAATAACAATAATAATAATAATAACACAAATAAAAATAATAATAATAATATTAATAAAAAAAATAATAATAACAACAATAATAATATTAATAACAATACTACTAAAATAATAACAATAATAATTATACTTCCAATAATAATAATAATAATAATAATATTTATTTTAATAATAATTATTATAATAATAATAATAATAATATTAATAATAATAATAATAATAATATTAAAAGGATGACTAATTATGAGGGAGAAATTGAGAGAAAATGTAAATACAACAAATTTATGTGAATTTTGGAAATATGAAAATATAGGCAAAATGGGTCTCTATTTGTAGGGAATTTTTTTTTTCTAGCCGTTGGTAATTTTTTTTTATTTATTTTAAAAGCACAAAATAACGGTTACAAAAATATAACCATTGCAATAATCAGGAATTTCCTGATTGGTCCAAGCTCCCTGACAGGACACGTGTCAGCGCCTGATTGGGCGTGCTGACGCGCCTATCATGGGTGCATTTAGTATTTTTTTTGCTTTTCCTTTCCTCAAAACGCTGCGTTTTGAGTTGAAGCGCAGCACACACTTCCTCAAAACGCTGCGTTTTGAGGCGTGGAGAGCAAAAAAAACGCTATTGCCAGCGTCGCACGTGGGGCCCACTCATTCTTGGTCTAATTTTAATTTTGCCCAAACTTTGATCAAAAAATGTTTTGCCCATGGGCATTTTTTTATTTAGCCCATTGATGGGGACTTTTATTTTTGGATTAAAACCCAAAAACTCCCCATGGGCATTTTTCTCCCCATTGGTGAGAGTGCTCTGACACAAATTTAGTTGTTATACTATTACGGCATGTGCACTTCAGCTTAATTTCAATTCAGTTCAGCTCCAATCAGTTTAGTTCAATTCAGCTCCTAATTTCCTTCTAATAAAATATTCATTTTAGTTCAGTTTAGTCCAGTTCAATAAATATGAACAGGCCCTTAGTATTAAGAAAATTTTTAAAAATATCACCATCTGGTGTTATTATTTTGTATAATATCACCTCAAATACCACCACTTTACCACAACTATCTAGATGACGTCAAAACGTCAACCACCTCCCTTTCAATTTCCCTCTTCTTTCCCCTCTCTTCTCCCGATCAAGTTTATTTCAATGATAAACAAATACGAGCAACACCAATTGAATTTTGGTGACGTGGTGATTGAGATTACACTAGATAGAGAGGACTTAGCTCGTGTTCGATCCCCCCACAACAATAATCGGAGGGAATTGGAACATAACCACCCAAAAGTAATTCCCAAATCCGAAAGGGTGAATCGGGTGGAACACCCAACAAAAAAAAAGACGAGTAACAAATTTGGTAAACTATAGAAGTACTACAAGTTTTGCAGTAAAAAAAATGCAATAATGCAATATTTTTTAAGTTAGGAAAAACATTTTTTTTTTTACAGCTATTACAAAGGGTAACACTAGACCCCAAAAGCAAGAGTACCTACAGACAAACAATGAAAATTGGGTAAAAGAGAATTGATTTTGTGAAGTATCACTCTATCTTCTTGGCAACCTGAAAATTGGCCTTGCAGCCACTTAGTAATCTGCTTCTCCTGGCAGCAGATATGAAGATGCCATAGCTTGTCCTTCAGAGCGGCCAAAAGACCACTGTTGATAGCTGCAAGCAGATTGCTAAAACCATATCCCTGATAAGAGTCATTACCCTGGCAGCTGCTACCCGACTTCAAGATCTAGTACCATTCTCTTTGCTTCCCTTTCCGTCCTCTTTTATGCACTTCTAGGCTGACTGTTTTGCAAATACCTGTTCCAGCAATCAGAATGTCACTATGTTTACGCTCACCTTGAATATTCTGCTGAGTGTTCCTGTATAAAGAGTTAAAACCCGGGGGGCCATCATTATGTTGAGAAACTGAGGTGACATTGCAATCCTCACTGGCATCTAGCTTCTTGGGGGGCATGACTACTCTACTCTCCATTCTCTTGATGACAGACCATGGATTGGGCTTCGTGTTCTTGAAAATTCTCTGATTTCTAGCTTCCCAAATACTTTCCAAACCTGCTAAGAAAAGTAAGTAGCTTCTCTCCATGCCCTCATTCTTCCTACTAAGAATTCTTTGCCAATTTTGTATCCATTCAGCAATTGGGATATTCTGCTGGAAGGCTACATTAATCCCTAGTTGGCAGCCTTTCCAAACATGACTGGCAAAAGAACAGTCCCTAAACAAATGCTGAAGAGTTTCAGTCTTCAAAGATTTCTAATCTCCACTATCATAACACAACAGACAATGGTGTTTATCACCCAAACCTCTCTTTTTCCTTTCACTTCCCACAGGTTAGGCATTTTTAAAAAATTTCCACATGAACGTTTTCTGTTTTAGAGTGCCCATATGCCTCTAGAATTGTTTCCAATGTGGTTTGTTCGAATTCCCTAAGTGCTGACTCGAGATTTGAGTGCTCTTTGAGTCAAAAAGCATCTTATAACCACTCTTGACTGTGTAGTTGCCACTCTTGTTTCCTTTCCAAACGATTATGTCTTCACAACCAGGGTCCATTAAAGGAAGGCTTTGAATATTTTTAACAGTCTCATCAGAGAGAAACGCAGGGTACACTTAGCTAAGTCCCAACTTCCTGACCCTTCCTTAAGACTGTTAACTCTTATCAGTTGAGAGAGTATCTTGATTTTTCCAGACAGGAGGTAGTCCATTTATCCAAGGATGGTGAATTTTTGCATGGCACCCATCACTTATAGACCACACACACCCATGTTTAAGAATCTAATTTCCGACCACACACACCCATCACCTAAAAACATTTTCTCAATCAAAAAACAAAAACAAAAAAGTTAAGAGGAAAACAAAGGTTTCTATTTCCGACGGATTGTGGTTCAGTATCATCGAGGAAATGGATGCTAGTCACATAGTCAGGGCATAACTAATGGAAGAAGACCACTGAAAGTTTAACTGGCTAATACAAGAGGGGGGGTGAATTGTATTTGAGATGAAATCTAAAAACTTTTGCGGAATTTAACTAAATGAAATAATGACGAGAGAAGATATAGGCTTTTCTAAATTTCCACTATGTAATCAAACTCTTTACAAGTGAAGATTCAAACCCGTTAACAAGTTCCACAAATTAGGAACTTGTTCCCAACTCTCACAGAAGCCTTCAGCAGCGAAGCTTCCTTGACCTCACCTTACACAAACTCACAATCCCAAACCCCAATGTGCTTCAATACAATCTGTAATTACAAATACCTATTACACTCAAGAATATATGAAGGAAAATAACTCTCTTTATATTATTAGGTTGCTACTGGAATTTTTATGCTCAAGAGTTGTGTTTAACTGAGATAGTTTGCATGAGTATTTATAGAGAAGGCTTAGTCATTAACCTCCACTATAATCACGTCCACATGCCAACACCCCACTAACAACTTGTGGAGTTATCTTGACAGATGGTGATCATGAAGGAGGTTTCCTAGCCTTATCTCACTAATCCACTATCTCAACAACTTGATAAACATTAGCTTTGATAAAACCGTATAATCAGAGAATTTCACAACAAAGAAAACTGCTTGTTAACTTTATCAAAAGTTTGTTTTAAAAAGATTTTATTTTAAAAAGGATTTTATTTGAAAAGATAAATTAATTATTTATATTAAAACCACTAGATAATTATCTTAGATAATTATCTTTATTCGAAAATAGATGACTAGATAAAACTTTTATAAATTATCTTTTTCCTTAAGAAATTATCTTTTAAAACTAACTTTTATTCCAGTAGTCTTTTTAATAACATAAGTCATTGAGTTCCTTTCCGACTTTATATTATTGAGTGCTCACAATTAAAACTAGAACGTGAGATTTGCACGAGGCTTTTTAGAGAATGCTACTCCGCATCCAAGTTCCTACTCCGGAACGAACTTTGCTTGAACCCTTTATTCACCAAAGACTCAAAACATTCATTAGTCGAGTTTGTCAATTTGTCCATCAAAACCAAAA